TTTATGGACAAAAAACCCCTCCACTAATATGGACACAGAGATACAGAACCCCTTAAGGTATAAATAGATGTTTCCATGCGCCTCCCCAGGATTTCTCAGGATCATTTAAAGCCAGGACTGGAGGGGCCCCACCCGATAATCCAAGGTTTATTAGACATGGATTAGATATTAGACTTCTAATCCATGCAATACTCCCATTTTGGCCATTAAAAAAACCAAACAGGCAAAAACATCAGCCCAAGATCTGAGAACCTGTTAACAAAATTATTAAATCCAGACTTGCCTTGGCACCTAATCCTAACACTATCTTGTCTGCCACTCCTTCCAACCCCAGTACCTCCCAGTCCTCCATCTGTGTTTCACCTTGTGTAGAATTCCCCTTCATAAGGAATCCCAGTACGTGTTCTCCTCCCCTGGGATAACCACCAACACACCTGCACTGCCCTACCCCCAGGCTTCACTGAGGCACTTCCCACACACCCTAAATGTCAGCTTGAGGGGCTTAAAATTCCCAGGAGACTCCACTTTAATCTGATGCGTAGATGACCTTCTTCTATGTTCTGACAGTTATGGCAACTTCTCTTGGACACGGACTACCTTCCTAAGGCTTTTTAGCAAGAAAGGGCCACAAAGTGGCCGAAGACAAAATTCAGCTAAGCTGTATGTCTGATATCTGGGTCACGGTACTTCGGCTGCACATAAAACTATCTTCACAGACCAAGGCTCCCCTGTTTGACATTTTCCCCTCCCTGAAAGAAGAGGACGACCGATAGGCATTTGGGTCTTGGAGGATACTGTAGGATGTGGCTAGACCTACATTCTCTCTGATTGCCTCACCCCTCTGTGCCATGACTAAGGAGGCCTCCCCAGATGCGGGAATCTGGGGCCCCCTATCCAAAGATGCTTTTGAGAACCTTAAGGGCTCTCTCTCCACTTTCACTTCCCACACTTAGACTGACCAATTACTCCCTGCCTTTTTCTTTGTGCATGAACACAAGGGTCATGCTCTCAGAAACTTATTGCTCACTGGAGATCTCAGCCCAGTGGCTAAGGCATAATCCCCCTTGCCCATGAGTCATGGCTACAACCACCAAACTTGTCCCAGCTGCCTCTGCTTTAGCAGAGGTCATCTGCTGTACGGACCCTATCGCTTGATGGAAACACATAGTATTTTTCTGCATCTTGACTTACCTCTCATGAAATCTTACTACTCTCTCCCCTCACATTGCCGTATGTCACTGTCAAAACCCTGCCACCTTGCTTCCCTTACCCACTAATGGGATGCCCCACCATTGTGTCCCTAACACTAGTCCACGATCCTGTCTTAGGCTAGATTCATCAGAACCCCCCACCCCTCACCTCACCTCACCCCCCCACATACTGACCTCACTCTTCATGTCAATGGCTCCTACCTCTGAAAGGAGGGTGGAGCCTTCTAGGATGGATATGCCACCACTGATCAAAACAACCCTCTAGAATATTGAGTCCTGCCAAATGTCAAATCAGCCCTGGTTGCTGAGTTAATTGCTCTTACTTGGGCTTCCGGTAAGAGCAGAAGGAATAAAGGTTAACGTATATACTGAAGCTGCTATGCCTTTGGGGTAGAACGTGACTTGGGCACGTAAAACAGAGAGGATTCTGACAGCAGCCAGTCCCCCCAGTCAAAAACAGACCCCAAATCGCAGAACTTCTAGAGGCACTGTTATTATCCCAGAAGACTACTATGGTAAAAACTGAGGGACACGGCACAACAAACTCAGACGCGACCTAAAGAAACAAACTGACTGGTAAGTATGCTACATCGGCAGGCTCCCCTCTGCCCACCCCAGAAATCCAAGGGTTTCCAAGCCTTGGGACTACGCCCTTGCATCCTGCTTTCAGGGCCTAGACCCCTGGTGAGATTATTCACCTGCCCCTGAGAGAGCACTATTTTAGGACGACTCCTCAGGCAATCATAAAAGAAATCCACATGGCCCAAATGGTAGCTTCAGACTCAGGAAGAACTGGATGGGGAAAGCTGGAGGTTTAAGCCATTCAGATAGACTTTGGAAACACCAAGATGGCTGCTCCACAGTCCCCAAGTTCATCTCTAGAGTGTGGGGCTTATTCAACACGACTCCCATGGAAAAGGACAAAATGCAGAGTATAGGAGACAAACGGTAGTTTGGACTCTTTGGCTTTTATTTGGACCAAGCCGTTGCCCCTTGCCTCAACGGCCAGAAACAGAAGCCTGGAAAAACCATAAAGGTGCAGCAAGAAAGGAAAGCAGCTCGGCCTCCACCGTGTCAACCCAGATACTTACCCCTTGCGAGAAAACCCTGCACTATTCCAGTCCATCCTCACAAGGGTCTCGTCTTTTCCATTGTAATTTTACCACAGGCCCTTTTCCGAGAATGAGCATTTATCGTCACACTTACCTAAATGGCACTAAATCCAACATAAAAGCCCCAAGCCACGACAGGGTTCCCTGGAGATCCCTCATGGGAACGAAAATGTCCCCACGGCACCTCCTACCTGGTTTCTCAGACCCAGCCCAACCACACAGAACCCACCTCCAGACACAGCTTCTCCCCCATCCTCAAAATTAGCATTCTCTGGTTATCCTCAGCCATCAGATGGTTATTTCTATGACCCCTGGCTAATTCCCGAGGGTTCTGACTTTGTCTGGGGAACCCATGCTTCTTGGCTGTCCCCTACCAACTGGACCAACTCTTGCTACCTCGTCAATCTTACCAAATCTCTTCACCTTACTCTATTTCCTGCAATCTTCTTGCATTCTTAAATTCTCTCTAAAACAACCTCCCCCTCCCTCAGGGTCACCTCGCTCTCACTGTAAGAACAAGAGGTATCCATGACATCCCAGATCCTCCGAATGGTGATCTCTGTTCCTGGGAAGGTGAGGTAGAAAAAACAGCCAGAGAACTGGGCCTGCGTTCCATCCAGGACCTCTCGACTTTTGGGGGGAAAATTTGCCACTTTTTTGGGTACCATCCCTAGGAATTTATCACCTAGCTCAAGAAGTTAGATTCCACAACAGAATCATCTATTCATTGCTGAAGCCATTCACCTTGTCCCTGGATAGTATCACCATGGGCCTCGAATCAGTGACTGGCCAACTACAAGAAACCCAGCGAGCCATTCTCCATATGACCCTGGTTACAGAAGGGGGCACTTGCCCAGTGGTCAGAAGTAACTAGTGCATATTCAACCCCAACAATCTACCGGACATCTTTGCCATAACCAGGAAGATTCGAGAGGTGAATGAAGAAAACATTTCACTGCCATTCTAACTCACACCGCCAAGGAAGGATAACAGGTCCTGGGACTTTTGGTAGATCTCTGAAGGTCTGTGAAGTTGGGTACACATATTGATTCCATCTCTAAGTGTTCACCTACTTTTCTTCAAGGTATTACTCTCATTAAAGGTCTTGTGTGTCGTACAGAACAGCAATTATCTATTGTCACCAACCACATAAGGAATAGACTTATGTTGTTCAGAGGAAAGAAGAATTTCTTTTCTTCACTTGAGCAAGGGGGGAGACTGGCAAAGATTCTTTGCTTGACCAAACTTTAGTCAGGATCCCCCTGAACCTTCTCCCCAAGGAGGCCCTTCTGTGTACTTCCTTCTAGAATCCAGTTTAATAAGAATCCTGCTAAATCAGTTTATTCAGAATTTCCCACCCTGAGATCTTATCATGCTAGGCATCCCTACAACCCCCAACCCCCACAGGTGATATCTGATCTCCCTGGTCCACCTTCAGCCAGAATGCCCCCCCCCATCCCCACCTCCCACTCCACTTGCTTCTTGGCTATAAATCACCCCTGTTCAGGTCGTATTTGGAATTGGGTCCAGTTCTATAGTGGAATCTGTCTTCCCCTACTGCAATAGTTTTTTTGAATAAAGTCTAACTTCTGTTTTCTTTTTCAGTGGTCTTTTTCCTTACCTGCCAGGTCTCTGACCATGCCATTTCCAAGCTCAGCCAGATCTCTGGTGACTTCCAGGAAGTGAGGCGGGCTTGGCCACCCCAGGGCTTACTCTAGAGAAACTGCCCTCAGGTAGGGAAAGTTCCCATTCCCAGTGCTGGGAAGTGGCAGAGGAAAGGAAAGGTCTCCACCCTCCTGCCCTCCCCACCGGGTCTTCACCTTGCAACCCTAGGGCCAGTCTGTGGGGCCAGGACTGCTGTCCATCTGGATTCACAGCCTCTGCGGACTTTAGACCACCCCCCCCACCACCACCCCAGGCCGTCTGCATCCACACAGAGGGATCTTAAGCTGCTCCTGCAATAGGGTTAAATCTAGCACTTTCAGCTCAGCTCTGTGGAAGTTTTGCCCACTGGCCCATCACCTTGTGGAACTGCACTGTTATATTTCACTTGCACAAAACAATGTCCTCTGCTTGGACAGCCAAAGTGTGGCGACAGCAGAAGCATACTGGAGGCGGCAGGTAAGTGGCAAAAAGTGCAACTGCCTCCCTCTGAAACCTGTGCTCTTGCCCGTGCAAGGTGTCCAAACTCACTGGGCAACTGAGGAGGGTCACTCAAGGACCAGTGACATCCCGAGGCTTTGGAAAAGGCCCCTGGGGCCAACAAGCCGCTAGATTTTTATCTTTTTTCCCCTAAGACAGGACACTTGGGTCCCTCTTCCCTCAGCTTCCCTTCCTGCCCTCCGCTGCCTTAGTATCCCTACACACCCCCCAGGTGGGAGAAAGAAGAGTCTTTCTTCCTCCTTGTTCCCTCCCTCTCTAGGGGGTTGCTAGGAAGGGGCGGGTGTCAAACCTTCTCTCCACAAGCACCGTGGGAGTGACGGGGGCGAGCTGGCAAGGATGCCCTCCTCCCGGGAAGAGTAAAAGGGCCGCTCGGTCGGAAGGAAACGCCGGCACCTGCTCCCGAGAAGCCCTCCGGCTGAGATACCGCCGCTGGCCCCCGCCCGGGCCGGCGCGCGGAGCGAGCACTGGCCCTTTAAGAGCGGCGCGCGGGGAGGAGGGCTGGGAGCTCCCCGAGCTGCGCCGAACTCGCGGGGGACGTCGGGCGCCGGCTCCCTGGCTCGCTCACTCGCTCCGACCGGCTCCCTGCGCCTCCTCCCGGGACTGCGCGGGGACCCGGGCCCGGGCGGGCGCGGGGCGAGCAGAGTCCCCGGGCGGGAGGTGCGCGCTCTGGGCAGCACCCGGCCCCGGGCATGGACAGAGGGAGCTGGGCGCGCAGGGGGCGCCGCGGGACCGGGCGGCCGGAGCGCTGAGCCAGACAAAGGCTCAGGAGTTGCGCTAGCTTTCGGGAGCCGGGCCCCGGGCGCCGAGGCTGCGGGACCCCGCGGCGGGCGGCTCCGGCCGGCCACCTCCCCCCGCGGGCCGGCTCCGCGCGCCCGGACCTGCCTGCCGGCTTCTCCTCGGGCGTGGGAATTTGCCGAGGGGACCTAAGCGGCTCGGGCGGGGACAAGGACCGAGAGGTCTGCCGCGCGCCCGCCCGGCGGGGAGCCAGGGAGCGTCGCAAGTTTCCGAGCCGCGTGCGGGGCCCCGGCGCCGGCCAGCGGGCGAGCCCTGCGTGTAGCGCGCCCGGCCGGGCTAGGCGCCGAGAGCATGGGCAGCGACCCGAGCACGCCCGGACGGCCCGGCTGCGCGGGCAGACTCCTCGGCGGCCGGGAGGCGGCGGCGCGGCCGCGACTGCTGCCGCTGCTCCTGGTGCTTCTGGGCTTCCTGGGCCGCGGCGCGGCGGCGGAGGACGCAGAAGTCAAAGCCGAGGTAAGGACCCCCGCCCGGCTCCTCCGCGGCGGGCTGGGGGTTGGGGGGGGCGGGAGGGAGCCACGCCCGCGGCCTGGGGCGAGGGGTGGAGGGCGCGGAGACGAGCCCCCGTCCTAGAGATGGGGGGCAGGGAAGAAAGGGGCCACCTAGCTGCCCCTCCCCAGCTCGCCCTCTGCGGCGCACCTCATGCCAAATCCTGGAGGGTGTAGGACTCGCGCCCGCTCGACCCCTACGGCCCTGCCCCGGTCACTGATCCGCCCCAGCCCGGGTCCCGGGAGTCGCTTCTGCTGCCCCCAGCCCTCGCTCCCCTCCTTCCCTCTCCCCGCGCGGCTGATTCCTCGAGAGTCCTGCGGGCGCGCCGTGACGTTCTCAGCGAGTGGGGAGGGGGCTGCCTGGGGGGACCACGGGCGGAGCGGGCAGCTCTCCCGCCTCGGTAGCCTCTGGTCTGGGTGACAGCGAGCCGCGCGCGGCGGGCCGGGAGCGGGGGAAGGGGTGCGAACCTCCGAGAGAGCAGTCTCGGGTTGCGGGGCGCTTTGGCGACTTCCTTGGGCTCTTGCGCGGAAGCCGCCCCATGGCCAGGTGGGTCCGAGAAAGATCCTGTCTCCCCCCGGCGCTTTCTTCCACTAGCGCCCCTACGCGAGGCCTGGGTCGGAGAGAGCACACTCCGAACGTGTTATCAGGAGCCCGCCTGACGTCCCTCCGGAGCCCCGTCTCCGGATCGGTCCCGCTAGTGACCAGGCGCGGCCTCCTGGGCGCAGAGTGGGGTCCAACCAGCAACCCCACCACCACACGCCGCCTCCCACGGGGTCGCCCAGCGCGGTCCTCCCGAGCACGGACAGTGAGGACGCTAGCTTCGTTGCCCCAGTAAAAGCTGGGTCCCTTCTGTCCAGACTTCTAAGACCCGACTCCCTGCCCCGGACTAGGAGAGGGGTGGGACTGGGCAGGAGTGAGGGGGTGGGAGGAGAGACGCGCCTCTGTGCCAACCCCGGTAGGCTCGGGCCTCGGTGCCCTTGGGCCGGCCTGGAGCCTCCCGCAGCCCGGGCTGTGGGCCTGAGTGCCTTCTATTTGCAGCCGGGCCGGTGCTCCCTCCCAGCCCCCCGGCGGCTTCCCCACCTCCCCCGGCAGCCTGGGAGATTTTTCCGATGGAAGCCTGCCCTTCCCCGCCCTACTTTAATAAAAGCATGGAGGAAGGGCAGGGAATTCCTCCCGGCTCAAGTTACACCTCCCAGCCAGTTCCCCACCTGCTCTGCCCTCCCTCCCTGGCCTGGCCAGGGAAAGCTGCGGGAGCCAGGCCTTGGCAGGAGGTGGAGTGGGAGCCCAGCCCATGCCCAGTCCAGCTGCCCCCTCTTTTCACACCGGCGGTCAGGCAGGGGCTTATAGGGAGCTCCTGCTGGTGGGGACTCCTATCCAGGTACTGGGTAGAGAGTGCTTATTAGGCCCACCTGCTACTCTGGAGAGGAGGAGCCAAGGACTGCAAGTCATAGACCCACCCTTGAGGAGTTTACAATCTATTTAAGAATGGCATCTCTGCGGGCACCTGGGTGACTCAGTTGGTTAAGTGAAGGCCTTCGGCTCAGGTGATGATCCTGGAGTCACAGGATCGCATCCTTATCAGACTCCCAGCTGAGCAGGGAGTCTGCTGCTCCCTCTGACCGCCCCCCCTTATGCTTGTGCTCTCTCTCGTTCTGTCTCTCAAATAAATAAAATCTTTATTAAAAAAAAAAAAAGTAATGGCATCTCTGCACAGGAAGCAATTATGGATCAAGCTGGAATTTGGTGGCCATGCCTGTGAATTGGCATCCTGGATGGATGGGGCGCTGGGACCTATAGTTGGAGGGGCTTTACTCTCTTTCCTTTGTTTCTGCTCCTCCATCACTCCCCTCCTCTCCCAGCTGAGGGAGTACCCATAGCCCAGGGCCTGCACCATCAGCCCTGAGTACCCTCAGACCAGGGCCCTAAACCTGTGGTGGCTCTGGCTAGAGATTTGTGACTGGCCTGCAGGCTGTCTCCTGGGGGAAATCCTGGGTTGGGGCATTGCTGGAGGAGACTCTGGAAGGTAGAGGACCCTTGATGTTGGAAGCCAAGGTAGACAGAGGAGTAGAGACAGGTGGACTATCCCAGCAACTACAGTTGGCTTTGGGGCACAGGCTGTTCTTTGGAGTCTGTCAAGTCTGTCCAGATTTGGGCCCAAAAAGTCAAACAGCTTTAGCAACCAGCCAGGAGGCCATGGGAGAACTGTCCCCAGGCCCGTGCTAGCCAAGGACCAGCATCAGAGACCCCTAGGCCTGGCCCTCACCCCAGAACCCCCGTAGCTCCAGACTTAAGACCCAGTCGGGCCATGGCTGGGACCTTCTCTGAGTGGCCTGACAACTGAGTCAAGGCCAGCCCCTCTCCCTTCCCTCTTCCTCCTCCCAGGACAGTTTCACCGGACTAAGGAATCAGGTCACCCGGAACCTGCAGAAGTTTCGCCTTCGCTCCACTTTTCATTCTCTTCTCTACTCACAGACCACTCCTCTCCATAGTCTGTTTCAAAACCCAGAGAGAACTGGGCTGATTGGTGCGGCCAGGGACCTGGCGTCCCATTGGGCCCTGCCCTTCCCGCTCAGTCCTCTGCCAGGTCCCAGTGCTGGGGCTGCCCCAAGGTCCAAGCTCCAGGCGGTCAGCTGCCTCCACGCAGAGAACAGCCCAGAGGCGTGTGCTTGTTTGAACAGCCTATCTGCCTGACCTGCCCATTCTGACCCCTGGATGAAAACGCCTTCCTTTGTCCCACCCCAAGGAGCAGAAGAAACGACCCAGAAACACACCCAGATCCCCCACAGGAGACTTTCTCCAGACCCCCCAGCACTCATGGCCTGTTGGCTCTGAGGCCAACTCAGAATGGTAACACCGCAGCCCTGGGAGAGCCCCGCCCTGCCGAGCGCTCAGTTCCGGCCCCTTGGGGCCTTGACCAGATGCTCCCTGCTATCCTCACCTCTGCCCAGCTGGGATTTTGACTTCTGCCTGAGGCCAGCTATGGGGGTTGCTGTGGTCACCACTGCCCCCCACCTCGGATTATAAGACTGAATTTGGCATACTCCCCCAAATTCATAGGTTGAAACCTGACTCCCGAGGCAATGGTATTAGGAGGTGGGCCTTTGAGAGGTGATTAAGTCATGAGGATGGAGCCCTCTTGAATGAGATTGGTGCCCTTACAAAAGCTGCCCGAGAAAGCTCCCTTGCCCCTTCTGCCATGTGAGGGCACAGCAAGAAGTAGGTAGTCTGCACCCCAGAAGAGAGCCCTTCCCAGAACCCAGCCGTGCTGCCACCCTCATCTTGGACAGCCGGGGCCTCCAGAACTCTGTGCAACGCATGTTATAAGCTGCCCAGTTTATGGTATTTTTGTTATTGCGGCCTGGACAGACTTAAGACATTTGGCATCTTCCATGTCATCCCAAGGTTGATGTGGCTCACACAGCTGGCCACTCAGGCGGGGGCCGAGCCCCATGGCCAGCTCTGCTTTCCGACCTGGAGATGTGGTCTCTGAGGCAGCAGAAGCAGAGAGGGGTCGGGGGCTGTCTGCTCAGATGCCCTCCACCACACAAGGTCCTGGCAGGACCCCACAGATGAATGTGACTGGGCCCTTTGGGGGAGGTAGCCCAGATGCTGCATCCCCAGGCAAGAAGAGCATAGGTACACAAGCTGGGCTTGGATCAGAGAGACAAAGAAGGGCGCCTCTTACCAGATCCTACGGCCCTGGTGGGAACAGCAGGTAATAAGCAAGAAGACCCAACTCAATCTCTGACAGCTGGACAGACAGATGAGGACCTAGGTGCCAGCCATCATCCAGCCTGTAGAGATGCTTCCCATCCTACTGCCATCCGATGATTGAGCTGCCAGAGCCAGGAGGCCAGGGTGTGGAGCAGCTTTCCAGGGCTGGCCCTTAGCCCTGAGAACTACCTTGTCCTCCCAGGACTGACTGCCGCCCTGGAGGGGTGAGAGCCCAGCTTCACATCGAGCATTTTGGAGCATGGCACTGGGTACACAGGAAGCGCCTGCAAATGGTGGCCAAGCACAGTGACAATGAGCAGCAAGTAGCATTTGCTGTTGCATGCTGGGCAAAAGGCTGCAGGGTGCCATCCTGTGGGGAGCCTGCGGGGCTGGAGCCAGGCGGGAAGGAGGTTGTAGGGGTGGGGCAGAGCTGCCCTTGGCCATCCCCCAACCTATCCAGCCACCCAGGCTTTGCCCCATGAGTAGCCCTATCAGCAATGATAACGCCTACAGGAGAGTTTCCAGGTGAGGCCTCAAGGCCTGGCTCTCAGCCAGCCCCCAAACCACTAGCAAACAGGACACTTTCACCCCGCCCCACTGGCCAAAGGACCCATCTGTTTTCCCCTCCAGGTTAAGGATTGCAGGAGCAGGCTGGTAGGGGGCAGGGTAAAGAAACCCAGGAACTCAGGCAACCACCTCCTTCCTGCTTCCCTGGCTGGACATCCCCCACCCCTCCTACTCCCCCTGCCACCCAGAGCCCCTTCCCCAGCTGCAACTGTAACATAGTGGGAGAGGGCAGCTTGAGCCCCAAATAAGCAAGTGTGTTCTTCTGGAACTGCTAAAATATGGACCGTGCTGCCTCGAAAGGTAAAGGATCCACCAAGGACAGGGGGCCTGGCTTGGTGCCCCCTCTCCTCACTGGCCTTGATCTAGGTCATCTGTGCTGTCGTCCCTGTGTGGTGGGAAGGGAGTGATAATACTGACTCTGCTTTGCAAGGAAGGAGCAGGGGGCTCAAAGAAGCTTAATTAGCCCCCCTCCATCACTCGAAGGCCTGTTTGGCAGACAAGCAGTCGGGACCCAGGGGCAGGTGTCCCTGGGAGGCAGGTTTCTGCTCAGCCTGAGGAGCAGCTTTCCAACAGTAATTGATGCCCAAAGACAGAATGGGCTACCTTGGTGGCAGTGGGCACCCCATCTCTGCAGGGGTGCAGGCTGCAAGAGTCCTGGGCCCCGCTATGGTCCATAGAGGCTTCAG